GAGAGTAGGGGACAGAACCACGCAGCTAGTCCAGGAGCAGAACATCTTGCCAGAGGGGCACAACACGTTCACCCCCAAGGGTGGCAGCAGGAAGGAGCTGAGCACAGCAGCCAGACCCAAGCCAGGCACAGCTGGATAAATCCAAACTTTGTAAGATCTGCACCTGGACTTCAGTAGGTGCTAAGGTTATAACTGCACCAAAGCTCTACAACAAAGGTCAGAAGGCAGTGCTACACAAAATGACAATGAGAAGGAGCAAAATGCAACCTCAGACCCCAAGCCCACCCATAACAAGTGCAGAGGAAGGTACTTTGAGCATGGATGTAGAGATAAAGATGTGAAGATGAAAACTGACATTTGCCCTTCCATGAGTAGGACTGGTGATTGGATGAATAGAGTGGGAATAATGTGTCAGTAGAGTGGATTTCAAGCTTCTGATCAGAATTTTCTGTGTGAAATAGGAAGCCATGATGTATAATGAGAGTGGGGAGGAACCTGACTGGAGATGGGGCACTTGGCATCCGAGGCCGACTAGAAGGTATAAGAAGAGCAAATGGATTATTTTTTAAACACAACCTCCTTGGGGCAGGGAGATAGCTCACTAGAATAAGCGCATGCCTGGCAAGTGCAAGGTCCTGAGTTCAATCCCTAGTACTGAAAAAAAAAAAAAAAATCATTATCCTTGCAGGATTATGTGACATTTTCCAGTGGCCTTCGAAAGTCCCAGACTAGAAGCAGTTCCATAGATTGCTTTTCTTTTCTTTTTAAAAATGTATCAGTTATGTAATTAGGTTCTTAGTAAGAAATTTAGAACACTAATTTATGCAGATAAATTTCATTTGCCAGAGCAAAAACAGATCGCAGGGAGCTCCGGAGCTGAGGAACAGCTTTGATTTTTGCTAAAATCTGTGAGTCCGCTTTTTACCAAGATGGCGCCGAAAGCAAAGAAGGAAGCCCCTGCCCCTCCCAAAGCTGAAGCCAAAGCAAAAGCTTTGAAGGCCAAAAAGGCCGTGCTGAAAGGCATCCACAGCCACAAAAAGAAGAAGATACGAACGTCGCCCACCTTCCGCCGTCCCAAGACGCTCCGGCTCCAGAGGCAGCCCAAATACCCTCGGAAGAGCGCCCCCAGGAGAAACAAGCTTGACCACTATGCCATCATCAAGTTCCCCCTGACCACAGAGTCCGCCATGAAGAAGATTGAGGACAACAACACACTCGTGTTCATTGTGGATGTCAAAGCCAATAAGCACCAAATCAAACAGGCTGTAAAGAAGCTCTATGACATCAATGTTGCCAAGGTCAATACCCTAATCAGGCCTGATGGAGAGAAGAAGGCATATGTTCGACTGGCTCCTGATTATGATGCATTGGATGTTGCCAACAAAATTGGGATCATCTAAACTGAGTCCAGCTGGCTAATTCTAAATATATACTTTTTTCTCAGTATAAAAAAAAATAAAAATAAAAATAAAAAAATAAAAAAATAAAATCTGTGAGTCCACCACTTTCTGATCCATCTTGTGCTGCTCTGAAATCTGGTATCTCTCTTTCTCGATGTCGAAGATCTCACCCTCCTGGTGTCTGGGTTTCCACAGCTTCTTCTTCTTGAAGCAAGCATCAGTGAGGTGTTTGGGGATTTTCACTTTGCTGATATCAACTTTTGTAGCAGTTGCAATGACAAATTTCTGGTGTGTTCTTCATAGAGGAACACAATTAAGGCTCAGAGGCCCCGTCACAAGTAGCAAGCCACCAGCCAACTGCTTCAGGAAGACCACTCTCTTGCCTCAGTGACTCCCAGTGAAGATGATCAAGATGGTGCCGGGAGTGATGCTGGCTCGACGTTTCCTCACATGCTGACTGAAGGGTTTCTTGCCGTGGCTCAAGAGCTTTTGGAGCACACCTTCAGTAGGTAGTATCTAGGCATTTTGCGAAGCTTAAGCACTTGGCTACCTCCATTCTTGTCCCCACCGACTAGTTTTGTGATCGTAGCAGAACTTTCTCCTTCTTTTTCTTCTCAACCTTTGATTTAGCAGCTATGTATTTTCTCTTGTACAAATCCTTTCTGGAATATATAACAGATTGGGAGTACCTACGAATTCCTCTAACCAGGACAGGATTTCAGCTGCAGTGGGAATGCCCCTGATTGGACTTTTTTTTTACCTTCTTTACCTGCCCTTTTTACCAGTACCACTGGCAGAAGCCTTCTTGGCTTAGGATCTCTTCTCTTTCGTGTCTGGCTTCTCAGTTTTTTCACCTGCCATCTTGCAAGATGGGAAAGAGAACTAAATTTCCCTAGATTACTTTCCTTTTAGGTAGCTATGATGGAAGAAAAAAAATAGTGTCCTAGAAAAATAACTGTCTCATATGATGTCACTTGGATCGTTGATATCACTCATGAAGATTAAAGGTTGATATTGTTGGTTGAATTTCATCCACTAAAAGCTGTTGAAGTCTTATCCTCCTCTACCTTTAAATATGACCTTATTTGATACCAATAGTATCTTTATTGATGATGAAGTTGAACAAAGCCCTTCTTGTAGGCCTGGTCCTGATCACCATGCCCTTGTAAGAAGAGCAAAATGAGACACAAACAGACACTTGCAGATGGAGCACAATGTGAAGATGGAGTAAGAAGCCATCTACAAGTCACAGCAGGCCTGAGGCTACCTGAAGCTAGGAGAAAAGGCAAGAATGTGTCTTTCTCTGGTAGCAGCCTTGCTGATACTTGATTTGGAACTTCTATCTTGAGCAAGGGGGACCATACACAGTGGACAACAGTAAAGGTCAGCAGCTTCTAATTCAGTGAGAAGAACAATGAATTGGATGAATTTGGCTTGGAGAAGACACCAGGAACAAGGCCAGGACTCACACTAAACAGCTTCTACTGTAATTCAAAAAGAAGCAATGGAGGGGCTGGGGAGATGGCTCTGTAGAATAAGTGCTTCCCTGGCAAGTACAAGGGCCAGAGTTCAATCCCTGGTTCTGAAAAAAAAAAAAAAAAAAAAAAAAGCAGTGGAAATGTTTTCCTGAGTACCAAAAGTGGTGATCTGATTTCAATGGTATGAAGGCCATTTTGGTTGCTGAGTTGAGCATGAAGGGTCACTGTCTAAACATGGTATGTGAGACAGTGTAGGAGGCCACTGGCTTAGTCAGTGGCAGGTGGTGGTGGCTGGGAGTGAGCAGCACTGATGCAGATGGAGAGCAGCAGTGGCTAGGAACTGTGTGTGGCAGGCAGAATTGCTGAGGCGTGATGACCTTTTGGTGTAGCTATTGTAATAAGAAGGCGCAATCAGCCTCACATCAGGTGTTGCTCTGGAAACAGCACAGTGCTATTAGGAGATCGCAAATCTCTCCCTGCTTGTCCCTGGAGCGTGGCCCCTTGGCAGCCAAACAACCTGGGATCACCCAGGCTGCCAGGAAGCAGTGTCTGTTATGAAGAACACAGTATTTCACTGAGGCACAGAGGTGGAGAGGAGTTCTAGGAAAAGACACAAGGAAAGGGTATGGTTACAGCAGAATTGGGGTTCTGGGAGGCTCAGAGGAAGGACTGACTAAGCTGATTGGTTGGTGAAGACAGTATGAGAGCCACATGCACGGGGGAAATCATTTCGCTGGTACCTAGTGCTTCTGCTAGGAACGTGGTCTTCAGCAGTGTCCCTCAGAACACTTGTGCTCTCTTGATCATTTCCCTTTGGGCTTCTCCAAGCTCACTTATTCTACTGTTCTTTTATATTCTGATTTTCTGCCCTGTGGTTCTTTTATGAGTCCTTCACAGATCCATAACTTAAAGTATACCACAAACTTCCTGAAGGTGGAAACCAAGAATCCACTGAAGTGGTCTATCAGTCATTCAATCAACTTACAGTCAACCAACCAATCATCTGATAGGGTGAATAAAACACATTGCAGAATGATAGAAAAATTGACTTCTAGTCCTGGCTGTTCGCTATTTAGTTAAAGGAACTCCATCTTTACCATATCTAGTTTTAAGTGCTTTCTTCTAAGAATTCATTAAATATACACTTCATCAAGGTGCTTTTACCAGAATTGTTTCATTTGACTGCAAGAGGTCAGTGTGATAGGTAGGACTTGTGCAGAGGCTGCTTTATAGTGGAGAACACTAGTGATTGGACAACTGAAGTAAGTGCTTTATTAAAACCTCAACAAGCCAATTCATGGGATATCCAGAGCAGAAGCCAGGCTTTCTCATTCTGGGGTCTCTGTTTTTTATATAGTATCTGATAGGGTTGTTGTAAAACCTAAAGCACTTTAAAAATTACCAAGCACTATGGACCTTCAGTACCCCCAAACAAGGATTTATCAGACTGTGTTCGTGCCACATTGCCCAGCAGGTATGCCATGTGTGGCTATGCTCAGTAGGCAGCTGTGGCCTGAGGGTGCTCTTCAGACTTGTGGGCTGGTGTTATGGGGACTTGCCCATGCTCTCTGAGGAGCTCTCATTCCCTGACGTGATTGCAGTTACATTAGAAGGGAGCAGGCTACGCTTTAATCCGTGTGTACACAGGAGTCAGCAAGGCCTGTGCGTGAGTTGTGATGTTGCTGTTTGTGATTTCCGTGAGTTAGGAAAGTTACTTGTTTCATTGAAGATTCATGTTCCTTGCTTTTAAGTTATGAAGAAATGTACTCAACTCCATTTTTTGGGTGTGTATTTTAGATTAAAAAAACCACTTAAGTATGTTTCCAACTACATGAGTGGTCTTATGGTAACCTGCCGCTATAGGCAGTCATTCAAGGGGCATACGAGTCTACAAAGAAGATACAAAGACATCCACACAACATCCTAGAGAAGGGCTGTTTATACAGTGTGGATTAGTTGCTGGCATGCAAGACTCATCCAGCAAGTGTGTTTAGTGGTGAGATGTCACGTTCAATATCGGACCTTTCAATTATTGGGCTGCTCAGTGGAGCAAGATGTTCCTGTTCCTAAAGGTTCACTAGCCATGCACCTCCCCACCTCGCAAAAGCTACATATAGGGTCACTCGCCCTTATATCCTAGAGGCCTGGTGGCTGATTGGCTCAGCCATGAGGAGTCTACCCTTGGTCTTTGTGGTCTTCTTCTTGCTGCTTTATGTTCCACCAGGTAAGAATGGATTCTTTTCCCTGTGGAGTTAGGAACAGCAAGGGGAAGGGGGTGTGTGGTCTTGTGAGTGCAGTGAAAGCGGTACTGAGACAGAAGAGCTGAGCAGCGCAACATGAAGGTGGGGGGTGCTCTTGGCAGGTCCTGCAAGTGGAGAGAAGATGCTAAGAACCCACAACAGCAGGGGTTCGCTTCAGATAAGGGGATGTGTCCTGGGGAGAGTCTGGAAATTCTGTGAGGGTCGTAGACAAGGTTGGACTGATATTTTCAGAAATGTGGCAGGGCAAGTGGATAAAAACTTGGAGGACAGTTAGGAGTTGGGGGTGTCAGGGAGCTTGTTCCTTGAAGACTCTTGGGCCGTGGCTTCCCCAGTCAGTGCCTGTGAAGTTTTCTCACTGAGAAGCCACAGCAAATCTGCAAATGGAGTTCAATGTTAAAATGCATTCGATTAGTGTAATACGATGGGACAGGACGGTTCACCCATTTGAAGAGAAAGAATTTCTGTTCTCTAGACAGAAGCAAGTAACTTGATGGTGGTGAAGAGAGACCACCTACATCGCTGAAGTGGAGCTTCTCAAGTGTGTGGTTTGTGGGGTCTGCAGGAAGCTCCCACCTTCTGCCTCAAAACTTCATATTCAAAGGGTGTCACTTAATGGCCGCATGGACAGACACAGATGAGGATCCTGTTGGAGCTGCTGGTGCTGTTCTGTGGGAGGGGACCTCGGTGTACCTCCCATGGTGTCTCTCCTGGGTTCTTGGTCTCTAGAGGCCCGCAGAGCTAGTAGAGCTCAGCTGGCAAGTTTAGTTGCCATTGGCTTTGGGTTGTGTCGCATTGATTATATTCATACATTGATTATATTCGATTACTTTCCTACTACCAAGACTCAATCAATCCATGGTCCCATGGGGGCAGGTGGTGGAAGACTGATAAGGCTTAGCACACAGAAGAAGGGTGACTCAGTGCCAGCCTTAGCCTCACAAACTGCCTTCTTTCCTTTCCTTTCCCTCTGGTTTCCAGAGGCACCTAGATCTTAACATCTTGAAAATTATTAGCAAGTGGGGGAACTACCTGCTCCGGCCCCCCTCCTGTCCCTGTCTTGGACAGGAGCTTTCTTTCTCTCAATAAATATATTCTGCTCATAAACTCCGTTTGTTCCTAAAATTAATTCTTCAGTTTTAGAGAACACGAACTCGTGCAGGTCAGGTCGGGAGATCATTTTTCCCTGTGTCATTTGGAGGTTCCTTATATTGTTTGGAGGTCACCCACCTGAGACCAATTTTTCTCCCTGTGTTATTTTAGAATTTCCCACTGAGATCATTGGATGGAGGTATGAGTCCTCTATAAAAGTCCCTGGAAGAGACAGCTTCCCGGGGAACTACCCGCTCGGGCCCCCTTCCTGTCCCTCTCTTGGACAGGAGCTTTCTTTCTCTCAATAAAGATATTCTGCTCATAAAAAAAGAAAGAAAATTACTAGCAAGGTATTTAGACATGTGTTCCCGATATGTCAAACCTTTTCCTACTCATCTGATAAGACTCTTGTAAGCACCCTATAAGTGAGCCATGACAGATAGTGAGGCCCTTAGGAAAAAAAAAATCATATAAAATATTAGGGGAATTCAGGGCTAGAACCATGATCTTCTGAACTTCTAGTTCAGTTATCTTTCTTTGTTCACACTGACACTTTAATAATTACAAACTCTCTTGGATATCCAAAGTGGACCCTATGACATCTCCTGCTAAGGGAAGTCTCTCGGACTCCTCCGACTGCTCCACCATTTGCATGGTCTTTCCTTAGCAAACAGTCCTGGGCTAAGTCTTCTTGGATTTGTTATCTGCATATAATTGATTAGTAATGATAGCCTGTGGGTGTTAACAGTAGGGCTCTTGGAAAATAATGTACAAGTAACTAGAAAGGAGAATGCAGCCATAAAATGGTTTGAATATCTTTGATTATATTGCTTTCTCATTAAAAAATTATAAAGTATAGCCCCCCTGGATAAATTTTGATCCATTCTTGGCAATGTGACCTTACAGGACACTCATGTGAATTAACCTTTGTTTCTGTTGACAGTAAGAAGTGGACAAAATCTTTACATAAGACAAGCCTTTTCAACATGCTGGAGAATGAAAGGTGCCTGCAAGATACAATGTGACAAAAAAGAATTGTATCATATTTTGTGTGACTCCTCCCGAGTGTGCTGCCTAGAGTCAAAAAACTTGCCTATCCTGGTTGGGTAGCTGTGAGGGTCCGAAGGTGCCTGCTGATTTCCTCTGGGCAGCTCACATCCTTTCAAGGCCTCATCCCATTAAAATGACGCTTTCAGTCCATCAGTGTTTGTGTCCACTGTGTTTGTGCTTCTTGCTACAGGAATACATTTTTAATTAAACTTTTTATCTTCTGCATTTTTTTCTTTTTATTAATTTGTTATTCATCAAATGTTTTTTTTGTCTTTTTGAGATAAGATCTCATTATGCAGTCCAGGCTGGCTTTGAACTCACATTGTAGCCTGGGTTGGCTTCATATGCACAACAATCTTCCTGCCTCAGTCCCTCAAAGTGCTGGGATTAGAAAATGCTCCAAAGGAGCTTCCTTTTGGTTGGAACCGCCATCTTCCAGTAATTTGCCAAAATGACTAACACAAAGGGCAAGAGGAGGGGAACCCGGTATATGTTTTCCAGGCCTTTTAGAAAACATGGGGTTGTTCCTTTGGCTACATACATGCGAATCTACAAAAAGGGTGATATTGTAGACATCAAGGGAATGGGTACTGTGCAAAAAGGAAGGCCTCACAAATGTTACCATGGCAAAACGGGAAGAGTCTACAACATTACCCAGCATGCTGTTGGCATTGTTGTAAACAAGCAAGTTAAGGGCAAGACACTTGTCGAGAGGATTAATGTGCGTATTGAGCATATTAAACACTCAAAAAGTCGTGATAGCTTCCTGAAACGTGTCAAGGAAAATGATCAGAAAAAGAAGGAAGCCAAAGAGAAAGGTACCTGGGTTGAGCTGAAGCGCCAGCCTGCCCCTCCCAGAGAAGCACACTTTGTGAGGACTAATGGAAAGGAATCCGAGTTGTTGGAACCTACTCCCTATGAATTCATGGCATAAACTGGGGATGTTGCTTTGCCATTCAGCACCTAATTGGCGGCTTAAGTGTTCTAGGTCCTACATAAAAATCATCCTGTGTTGTAAGGGTTGTTTTCTTAGTTGAACAAGTATGTAGTGCCTTCTACCTCAGAAATATCTGCAGCAGATTTTCACTGTACCTAGTAATTGTGTCTAGCCTTTACTCTTCAGTATTTTCTTGCTGAAAGATATTGCTGAGGTATTGTGCAGGTGTATACCCAAAAATTCAAATATTTATAAAGTACTTATATTGGCTTGAAGATCCTGTAAATCATCATGGGGAAAAGATGTATCAAAATAAATGGAAGTCACTTCAGAAACAAACTTAAATCCATTTCAGTTAAATAAATTGTTTAAAACACCTTTAAAAAGAAAAAAAAAAGAAAAAAAGAAAATGCTTCAAAGGAAAGTGAAACTGGGATGGGTGAAAGGAGAAAAATAATACATATATACACACTCATGGTAGTTTTTTAAAAATTAATTTATTTATTTGTGTGTGGGGGGGTGCTGGCTGGCATGTGATGCTGGGGGATTGAACCACAGTCCCTGTGCTTTGCTAAGCTTGTTCTAAGTAGGTGCTTTAGACCACTGAGCCATCTCACCACCCTTCACAATAGTTAAGATAGCTATTATTTCATTGAAAGGGCAGATATATACCTATGTTGCCTGATTAGTTTTTCAAGTCTATATCTTTCATTATGAGCAGCTACTTTGAAAATAACAATGTGCAGTGTACTGAACACTGGTGATCTACGATTTTGTTTTGAAATTGTACACAAGTGTGTGCCACCACACCTAGGCTAAGGTATTACAAGAACATTTTTTTTGAAGTTCAAGAAGTTTTCTACCTTGAGATACAGGTAGAAAATGGTAGAAATCTTGAGTAAACATCCTGATGCTTTCATGCATTTCACATACCTATGTAAAACCCAAGTCAAGCAAAGAACACAGGCACACTCTGCGTACCGCAGTCACTCTCTCAGGAGGGATAGTCTCTGGCTGCCAATCTAAAAGCAAAGTCTTGGCATTCACTTCAACATTATATCAATTCAAGCTTATATCAATTGTGGTTTACCACTCTTAGTTATACACACTATTCCAATGGAAATCATTATGAGGCTAATCTGCTATAGGAGAAGATATTCATAATTTATAGACTTTGGCTCTCACAAATAATGATGTTGGTGACCATTCCCATACATTTCTTTTTCTTTCATGACTGGCCAAGCCTGCCCTTGGGAGTGTGGCTGGTGCAGCATAAGGTGCCAGGGATCAAACCGATCCCTGCAGGGATCATCCCTGCATGCTTGCCTGAGCTCATCTAAGCAGGTGCTTTAGACTGCTGAGCTATCTCGCCAGCCCAATGTACATTTTTTTTTTGAGGCAGGTATTGTGGCATTTCTGAGATAGATGCCTAGGAGTGGAATTCCTAGGTCACAGGCTATGTATGCATTCCATTTGGATAGACAGAGAGTGTCTGATTATCTTCCAAATGGATTGCAGAGAAGTCCACCTATAGAGTAACCACTATGGTATGTAGCATTTAAAGTGAAGCAAAGGTATAATACAAGTTAAAAGAAAGCAGGATCTCAAGGACTAACTAATCAAGAGAGGGAAAGGAGAAGAGCTAGGAAACATGAATAAGTCAAGCCATACAGTTGTATGTAGAAGATGGGCAAGACAATGATCCTGAGAATCTTCAGAAGATTTTTGAATCTGGCAGTTAATTGGAAAGATTCTCACCCTGACTAACTATATATACTAATACCTGTGAATTAAGCAACTGCACTGCAGATGGTAATTTGTAATAGTAGTTTCATGCTTGGAGTGCCTGTCATTCTGGTATTCTGAATATAGGCTGCTTGTCATGACATGCCAGTTGCTGTGATGATGTCTCTTGGGTAGATGGTTGTTCAAGAACAAGGGGGTGGTGAATGAAAGCAAGAGATAGGAAAAGGAATATTGTGGGACTGTCCTGCTTCAAGGTTGTATATGGTGAGATTTTTGGACTTATGTGTAAACATAAGAAGTATAT